TGGGAAATGGGAAAACAGAAAATGAATTGGCTACTTCAAAAAGATGCTTGGTCACCCACTTATAAAGTTGCGTAAGGGAGAGCTTAATGTGGATGTAAACAATAAAGGAAGTGTAATACACAAAATCTTGCGTTTTTCATGCAGACAAATTTTGAATATATTTACTCAAAAACTTTTATGAATTTGTTAAAATATTGGATTAGCACATCATTTATGAGGAAGATATACTAGTGAGTTTTGGTGTAATATCTAATATTAATATACTAATATTCATTTTCTGGGAGCCATTCAAGGCTTTAATGCTCGTCCTAAGATAACATCGAGATATTATAAATGGAATGAAGCATAGCCTTCATTATAAGGTTTCATAACCTATCTATTAGTAGTAATTATTTCACATTTGACTATAATTTATATGAACATTAGCAAGGACTTGCGATGGGATCTTGCTTAGCTACAGTTTTCACGAATAATCGCATGATGAAGTTCGAGGAATGCCTAATGGAGGAGGTAATAGTGATCCCCAAATTGTTTATTACGTATACGGATGACCATGTTGTCATTTGGCAGCACGGTAAGGAATGACTAGATAATCCCTACCCTTAGTAAGGACAAAATGGAATTATAAACGAATAAGTTACACTTTTTGGATGCTCTGAGTATAAAGTAAGTTTATAGGCAGTCAGCATATGCTAGTTTTATTCTTAATTTTATTTCTAACAATAGTCATAAAGCTAAGGTTAGAAATTTGAACACATTGATTATTTGGAGTATGCAGCTTGCTAACAAAATAATTATGCATTAGGCTTAATCGAAATAATATCACTTTAATAGGAAATAACGTTTCAGATGAGATATACAAATTGAGACATCTTATCATCTCCCAGCCCTGTCGCCATTCCTTGCTTCGAATAAAATAAGCAAACTAGTGAGAATAGAGAATAAAAACAGTTTATGCCAATAAAAGTTTTGATTAATATCTTGATCAAAAATTATTCAACTCACTTTCAGTTCGAATGAAAGTATGCGATGTGGTAGACCGATAAGTTTTCGCTACTCATTAGCTTAAATATGGTTGTAGGAATTATACCTTGCTGTCTTTTAAGTGAAATAAAGGACGAAAGTTTAACACGTTTTCACCGGTATTTAAGAGATTACCTACTGTATAGCATCAACAAGCATTCTCTAGTAAATCCAACCGATAATTTGTCAAAGGTCACTAAAGCTCACCCACATTCGCTTCGGGCTTTCCATACTAAATGGTGGCTAAATTAAGTCAACTAGCTCACCAAAATTTATCAGCTCCTGCTATTCTTTCAATAATTGGTATCTTGAATAAGATATCATAAGGTATCTTGCCCCTAACCGATATAATCCACTCCATCCATCAAATCCGAGGACTTTGCACTAATGTATAACGACTCATTAAAACACAAAAATATCAGAGCTTTACTGTGGACAACTGCAAAAGCGTGATCCTCTTGCAATAGTAATATAAAAATGGAGAAAGATTTATAATAAGGCATCAACAAATATTAACACTTCCCAAATTCGACATCAAACTAGATAAGAACACTACCCAGCATCTTTAAGACTAAATAATAAAAGCACAAACCAAGAGTGAAGCGAATTAAAGATCGAAGGAAAAACGTCTATTTTCAGTGATATAATGACTCACTCGAAAATCCACATGGTTGATGCATTTTGGAGCCAGGCAAGTTCTGTCAGACTTCCTCCAGTCCTCTTGTTTGCCTAAACTTGAGTTAGTGGAACTTGACTCATAATTCATAACTCGCTTTAATCCAAAATCCTCATCCAGCCTGCGTCGACGATAAAACGCCTTAAGCAATGGTCCTGCCGCCGGGGTAGCATCTTCCGTATCGCCTTCAACACAATTTCCATCACCTTTCGCAGTTTTGTATTCACCATGACAAGCAGAAATAAGTTCACTTGGCCTACCCGCCGAATTAGCCGCCCGAGCAGCAGAGAGTCGTGACTTTCGCAGACCAGAATTGATTGCTGGTGAAAGGTTTGATGTACCTGAAGTGATGGACGCTTTGGTAAGTGCTGAACCAATTTTAAACTTCCTCCGATTTACCCAGGAAGAGGAAGTAGTGTGGGGAGAGGCCATGACCCCAACGGAACCTGAAGCAGAAGGCCCGTCAGAACTTTCAGTATTTTCGCCAGTAGTTGAGGCCTGCTTAAAGTGCCTAGGACGTGCTGCCTTGAGCCTTAAAGAAATAATTGAAAGACAAGTCCCAAGTTGTTACAAAAAAATAAAAGAAGACCAATCATATTTCTTTAAAAAATTACTTTTTACATTGATATAGATTATTTATAGGACATCATTCCCCAGAGAACTTGTTGAATTCCATGAAAAGGCAAAGCAAAAAGAATACATTTACACGCTGCAACTATTCTTTTATCGTGTATGTAATTAAGCCGGTCAAGTGTACTGTTCCTATGAATGCAAGTATAAATCAGAATGAGGCTTTAAAAAAGCAAGCAGTCGTGATCCCCTCTTCAGCTTCGTATGGTCAAAAAATTATTTATAAAACATGTATTGCTAATATAGACAAAATTTTTGTTAAACTTCTTTAAAACAAAATGATAGTTCCATCCCTCTAAACGCCACGCCTTTGTCATCGAGCTTAGGCGCATTCCACATGCTGAACTTAATGACAGTACCCAGAGATACATGATAATGGCACAATCCGTTTTTAGGTAAAGCAAATGTACTTCTATCCAAATGTGATACAAAATTCTGATTAAAGTTAGGTGTACAATGATAAGGCAGCGAGAAGTCCACAACTAATAGCAGTGATGGAAATATAACTGGATAGTTGGCTCAGTCGGCTCTTAAACTCACCACAAGTGATACAAGTATTTAATATACTTGTGAAGAGTCGAAAGAAGGTAGTCAGTGTAAAAAAAAGTCATAATTCTTATAGAAGAATATTCACCTCAAATATTAAGCAATCATATAGGTATATATGAATATACAAAAGTATAAAACGACAGGTTTTGAATCCTCTCTGGAATGCGGGCTTTTTCGAATTTCATAATAACAAATCGTCTTTATAATTAATCAACATAGGAAAAGCAGATCCATTGGATAGCCAAGCTGGCAACTTTAATAGATTTAGTCAAAAGTTCGATAAACAGGATAGAGAATAAGAAATATTTGTCGGTTAGACCCCGTTTTTACAACCTGGTCAGAGCATCAGGGATATCTTGTGTAATATAACTAGTCCAACGCTATCTTCCATAGTAGTCATAATTTCCAGCATTGCAGACCAATGACTTGTTACATTCCCAAACGTTTAACCAGTATCGTCAATGAGAAGCGCTATTGTCAGGACAGTTACTAATTATCAGTGGCAAGTGAAGGCAGCCCTCTTGGCCAATTTTCTGTTCAACCGTTGTGACAACTACTCGCCCATATTTTTCTTTTAACTTCTAATGCTCCATCTCTTTCTATCAACCTCAATTCATATAGCCCATCAACCTATTTACCAAATTATGTGCTCTGGTTCTCTCCTAAGAGTGTCGCTTTTTCTTTGCTTCCCTTTTTACCTCAAGAGCCACTCCGTGGCGATGTCTTTTCTGGTTGTTGAACAGTTTTCCTGTGCCCAAGCCTCATCTTGTTAATGTATTCACTAAATCTCCAAGTCTGCCCAGGAAGTACGCGAATTATTGCTGACTTTTCCCTCTTCTAATCTCCTGTTCATCAGGTTTTTTTGGAAGAGGATGTCTACAGTCTCCACGATCTTCAGTTTTCTGGCGTTTTCCTCACATGAGGCCCGTCTTTCCGTTACCCTCCAGTCAATTGAATGCCTGATAAGAGTGATGTGTTCACTTATCTCGGATCTTTCCGTATCCACTTTTATGCATAGTA